GGACCCTGGGATCATGACCTGAGCCGAAGGCAGACGCTTGACGACTGAGCCACCCAGGCGCCCCCTAAGTGAATATTTGTTTAATGATGAAAGAATTAAGGGCCTACTACGTGCCAGGCAGCTGTGCTAGGCCAGCTGGCCTGCTCCTGCTGAAGTCCCCTCTTCCCGCTCACTCTACCGGGACGATAAAGGCTGTCTTCAGTCCTCCTACCGCCAGGGTCCGCTGTAGGAAGCGCGCGGCTGCCTTTTCACGTCACCTTCTATCCCCGCGGTGCCCTTTGACCCCGTGAAGTCACTGCCCCGAGTTAAGATGGCGGTATCAATGGCAGCTGCCGCCGGGCGACTGAGGCGGGCCATTCGAAGGTCGCCCCCCTGGGGGAGCCCCAGCCGTCGGCCTCTCTCATCGGAGCCCCCTCCAGCCCAGGCCACGGCCGTGCGCGACGCCTTCCTGAACTTCTTTCGGGACCGCCATGGCCACCGGCTAGTGCCGTCCGCTTCCGTGCGGCCCCGCGGCGACCCCAGTTTGCTTTTCGTCAATGCGGGCATGAACCAGGTGGGGGCTGAACCACCCAGATCGGGGGCGGAGTTTATGATTTTTTGCCGGGAGAAAGGCGCCGCGGGATTGGGCAAAAGAAGCGAGGGGCGGAGCTCATGGCCTCTGGGGAAAGGGCAGTTCGTGGTTAGGCCAAGTGTTTGCGGGCACAAGTTCAGGCTTGGGGAAAGCTGCACTTGGGAACTTAAGGGTTTGGATTGAGTTTTAGGTCCAGGAATGGAGGGTGTGGAGTTTTATGGGGGCAGAGTGGTGGAGGAAGTCTGACTTCATTTATTCATGCTTTAAATAAAGATAACTAATTGATTAAATAAATATTTATTGACCACTTAGTATGTGCTACACTGTGTTCTCTAAGCTTTTGACTTTGAGCACCACTTACCCTCTAGATTTGTCTTCATCTGTAAAATGGGCGAGGAGGGGGGACTAGATTAACCTTAGAGGCTGTTAAATGCTGACTTTGTGAGACATGCCCTGTGGTCTCGGATTTATACCAGAGGTTATTGAGTGTGGTTTGAAGAGGCTGAAATGGAGGATGAAGCCATTCAGTGCCCTGTTTCCAGCCACCAACACATTCCTCCTCCTTTTACCTTGCCTAGTTTACTAGCAGAGGGTCTCTGTTTCATGATTTATTTACCCCTCGTCTGCTCCACACACACCAGAGATAGGTGCCCCCAGGCTCCCAGATTGCCCCGTTGGCCATGCACGGCACTCTCAGGGGGCACAGTCAGCCTTCAGTCTGAACACCCCACTCCCCACCTCTCCCTTCTACTGAGGGAATGAGAACTGGGACCTTCATGTGTTTCCAGTTCAAGCCAATCTTCCTGGGCACTGTGAATCCACGAAGCGAGATGGCAGGCTTCCGACGGGTGGCCAACAGCCAGAAATGTGTGAGGGCTGGAGGACGCCACAGCGACCTGGAGGATGTGGGCCGAGACCTTTCCCATCATACCTTCTTCGAGATGCTCGGCAACTGGGCTTTTGGGGGTGAATATTTTAAGGTGAGTCTCCAGGAAGCCCTGGAGTTCGGAAAGGGTCAGTGGTCCACCAAGAAGGGGCTCAAGATTAGTCCTGTCTCCATTCCTACTGTCTGCATAGACAGGACTCATACTGGACACAGAGGCGAAGTGCTAGGTGAACAGGTATGGCAGGAATGTGTTTCACTTCCCTAATTGGATTGTAAGCTCCTTGAGGGCCAGGACTGTGCTTCTTGCCTAATGGCTAATCAGTAATTGTATGAATAAATGGGCAGGCAGAAATACTAAAATGCAGGAGTTAGCAATCAGCCCAGGTTAGGGTGGAAACACAATTTCATGGAGAGGATGGGACTTGAAAGAAAGGATTTAGAAGAGGGGGAGGAGCTTCCTGGGCAGGAGAAAAAAAAAACTCAAGCAGAAATGGTAATGGTTTGTTCTGGAAACGAGGTGGGCAGTGGAATTTTGTCTTAAGTTGAGGGCTGAAACTCGTGTGGTTTGATTGGTGCTTCAGTGGGGCCCTCTTCTCACCCATTTTCCTCCTCCCACCCCATGTGGGTTTCCCCTGCAGGAGGAGGCTTGCAGCATGGCCTGGGAACTCCTGACTCAGGTCTATGGGATCCCTCAGGACAGGCTCTGGGTCTCCTACTTTGGTGGTGACCCCAAGGCAGGATTGGACCCAGACCTGGAGAGCAGGGACATCTGGCTCCGCTTAGGGTAAGTCTGCCTCAGCTCATTATGTCCATTTCTGGAGGGCAAGAGGACTGGCAAATAGAGAGTACCAGCATCAGTCCTCAGAATCTCGGCGTATCCTAGGAGACTGGGGTCAGCCCTGTTTCCGCTCTGGCTGAGCTTGATGGAGAAGCTCTCATGGCCGAGAGGGTTCTGGCTCCCAGGCTTGTCTATCTCCCTACCGCTCGCCTGGCTTTCTCCTCAGGGTGCCTGCCAGCCATGTGCTTTCCTTTGGACCCCAAGAGAACTTCTGGGAGATGGGGGACGCTGGCCCTTGTGGGCCCTGTACCGAGATCCACTATGACCTCGCTGGTAGGGTGGGAGCCCCCCAGCTGGTGGAGCTTTGGAATCTGGTCTTCATTCAACACAACAGGTAATAGGGTGCTAAAGCAGGAGGAAAATCCCTGGCCAGAAGTGGAGAAGGTAGCAGTCAGGAGACTTTGATCCATTTCTTATAAAAAACAAACACTTAAATGGTGTTTACTGTGTGCCAGGCACATTTCTAAATACTTTTCACATAATAACTGATTTAACCCTAGTCTATGCTCTTAACAGTTTGTATTTATTTACTTATTTAGAGAGTGTGAGGGCACACAGGAGCGGGGGGTTGGGGGGGACGGTACAGAGGGAGAGAGAGAGAATCCCAAGCAGGCCCCATGCTCAGCACGAAACCCAGTGCACGGCCTGATAACACGACCCCGACATCATGCCCGGAGCCGAAACCGAGAGTCTGATGCCCAACTGACTATGCTCATAACAGTTTAAACTAGTCACTGCTGCTCTCAGGCCTTTGCTCTTTTATCACATGATGAAGCTGAGCTTCATGATCTCTGAGATTTTCTTCCAGCCTTGACCTGTCTTTTTCTCAGGGCAAAGAATTCTGTCCCAGAAAGGGGATGTGTGGGTCCAGACAAGGGCCCAAGCAGGGGTGAGGGTGGAGCTCACCCTTTATGAGAAAGTACATACAGGAATCAAGGCCATCACTGTCTGCCTTTGGTGGGGAGGGGTGGATACTGCCTTCTGGTTCCTCCCACTGTCAGCCCCCTCCTCATTCCTCCACTTGCACTTGGGCATCTGCCTCACCCCTGTAATCCTGTGTGGGGCCTCACCTTGCACACCTTCCCTGGCCAGAGAGGCAGATGGAAGCCTGCAGCCCCTGCCCCAGCAGCACGTGGACACAGGAATGGGCCTGGAAAGGCTGGTGGCTGTGCTGCAGGGCGCACGCTCCACCTACGACACTGACCTCTTCTCCCCGCTGCTCAATGCCATACACCAGGTGAGCCTGCCTCTTCCCTTCCAGAAGCTATTGCTTTCCATTTTTTTTTAAATTTTTTTAAGATTTTTTTAATTTATTTACGAGAGAGAGAATGAGAGACAGAGAGCCCGAGAGGGAAGAGGGTCAGAGGGAGAAGCAGACCCCCCGCTGAGCAGGGAGCCCGATGCGGGACTCGATCCCGGGACTCCAGGATCATGACCTGAGCCGAAGGCAGCCGCTTAACTAACTGAGCCACCCAGGCGCCCCTTTGCTTTCCATTTTTGTTGAGAATTCTGCATGTTCCTGCATGTGGAAACAGTGACCAACCAAGGATACCAGGGTCAAACACGAGGCTAGGGTTCATGTTTATTACCTGATATTGCCCTAACTCCTTTCTTCCTATTGTAGCCTAAGAGATAAATAATAAGTAAATGTATTAAAGAACAAGATGGCAGATTTGAACAAGATTGCAGATTGTGACCAGGCAGTAAACATAGGTGATAGTAACTAGGAGAGGGGGTGGGTACAGAGGAATCTTAGACCAAGTGGTTGGGGAAGGCTTACCAAGCAGATGATCTCTGAGCTGGAACCTGAAAGAGGAGGAGCCAGGCACAGGAAGCTCATTCCAGGTAGAGGGGACAGCAGATACCAAGGCCCTGAGGCAGGAAAGGAACACAAAGGTAAAGAAGAATCACATGGGATGTAGCTGGAGAATGTGTCCCGGAGATTTTGCTGTGTAACAAACCACCAAACACTTTGTAGTTTAAATAACGAGTTATTTAGCGTATGAGTCTGTGGGCTAGCAATGTTGGCTGAGCTTTGTTGGGTCATTCTTTTGGTTTTCTTGAGTTCATTCATACATCTGTAGTCAGCTGCTAGGCAGTTCTACTTCTGAGGATCGGCTGGCTGGCTGGCTGGCTGGGTCACTGGGAGTGACCAGGCTGTGTCAAGCAGCAGGCTAGCGCGGGCTTGTTCACATCACATCATAGCTCAGCAAGGTTCTAAGAAGGAGAGCAGAAGCACACGAGGCCTCTCGAGGCCTGGGCTCAGAGCAGTGTCATCTCCGCCTCATTCTGTTAGCCAAAGCAAGTCACAAGGCTAGCCCACATTCAGGGGGTGGAGAAATAGATTCTATCCTTGGATGGGAAGGAGCTGTGGTCACGTAAAGTGGCATGCACACAGAAAAGGAAGGGATTGTGGCCATTTTTGCAAACAGTCTACCATACAAAGGAAGGCAGAAGTCAACCTTGTGGGGCCTTGAAGTCCAAAGTGGGGCTTTTCTTTTTTATTTATTTATTTATTTATTTATTTATTTATTTATTTGAGAGAGAATGAGATA